GTTTGCTACCTCCCTCCTCTGCCTTGAGGTCTGTCAGCTTGCTGTCCTTGTGGACTCTAATTCTCCCCTCAGAACTTTCCTGGATCTCTTAGCTCCACTTCCCTCTTTCTTCTGTTCCCCATGTTGCTGTATGCCAGCAACTGGTTTTTCGGTCTCAGAGAAGCTGGTTTGCCACTGCTCACTGATCCACCGTCTTCCTGGAAGCTAGACATTTGTTTTCAAAGCTATTGAGAATGGAATTGTTTTCCTGATTTCTTTCTCATTGGGTTCATTATTAATATATCGGAACACTATTGATTTTTTTGTTTTGTTTTTTGTCCTGGCTCTTTGCTGTTTTTTTGTTTTTAATCAGATCTGGAAGTGTTCTTGTAGAATTTTATGGGTTTTCTATGGAAAGAGTCATATCCTCTGCAAATAAGGATAATTTGGCTTCTTTCTTTCATATTTGTATGCCCTTTTTTTTCTTTCTCTTGCCTGCATGCTCTGGTAAAAGTTTTGAGTATTCTTGAATAGGGAAGATAGAGTAGACATACTTGTCTCATTACTCATTTTATTGAAAATGCTTTCAGTTTTTCTCATTTCAGTGTGATATTGGCTGTGGGCTTGTCATATGTGGCTTTTTTTTTTTTTGAGACAGGGTTTCACTTAGTCACTATGGTGCCATAATTGGGATCAAACCAGTAATCCTTTGCCTCAGCCTCCCAGAGTGCTAGGAGGTAGAATTAGGCGCATCTAACACCACACTTGGCTCCTAAGTAAGTAGCTTTTACCCATTTGAGGTAAGATCCTTCCGAATCTATTTTCATCAGAGTTTTTAAGATGAAGGGATGTTGTATTTTGTCAGTGCCCTTTTCTGCATATATTGACAATATCATGATTTTTATCCTTGTTTTTATTCATTTGGTATATTACATTTATTGATTTCCATATGTTGAACCATCCCTGGTATAAAGAAATGAAATCAGTTTGGTTATGGTCTATGATCTTGAATGAGTTGTTGAATTCTGAGGTTTTTTTTGGTGTCCGTGTTCATCATGGATATTGATCTGTAGCTTGCTAGTTTTGTTGATCCTTGTCTGGTTTTAAGATAATGGTAATGCTGGCTTCATAGGATGGATTTGGAAGCATTCTTTCCCTTTCTCTTACATGGAGAAGTTCAGTGTTCTTTGCTAAAGGTTTGGTACATTTTTCATCTATTCTCTATTTTACTTTTTTCTCCTTGTCTTTATTACATAGTCCCTTCCTCTTCACAAGGGGTTATTTTGCTCTCCTATTGCTTGCTTCTTAAGTAGCTTAATTTCCTTTCAACTCTTATGGTAAGTTGAATTATACCCCCACCAAAGATGTCCCCATTCTTTGTAATATGTAAAAACTCAGCAGCAAAGCACAGGTTGGCAGAATGTATTTTTTTTACATGATTCAAATATATGGTGCCTATGAGATGCACTTTAGAATTAAAGGTGCAAATTGAATGTAAAAAGATGTAAAATGATATACCATATAAACAAAAACCAAGAGAAAGCTAGAATGGACAGACTAGTATCAGAAGAAAATAGACACTGAGTTTATGTAAAATTGCTACTAGAGACAAACAAGGGCATCTTATGATAAAGGGTCAATCTATCAACAGTCTATCAACATGCTACGATTATAAACATATAAGCCTTGCTCTGTTATTCTACCTTGCAGAATAAAAAGAAAGCCTGCAAGTGTGATCACACTAAGGGTCTCGGAGTAGAGAGATGATACTGGTGGGCCCAGTGTCATCTCAGTGAGCCTCATCAAATAGCAGGAGATTGGGGTGAGCTGCAAGAGGTGTGGTGTGGAAGAGAAGAGTGTTGGAAGGAAGGGACCACAAGTCAAGAAAGCCGGTAGAGGCCAGCCCAGAATCTCCTCAGTGGTGTTTGCAAGTATAAATTAGCATGGGGCTCAGAAGCCTCCATGCCAACTTGGTACTGTCACTGTCGGACACAGGCCAGCTAGGTGCCATTCAGTGTTGCTGAAGGACAGGTGGAATTTTCACTCTAGGTAATGGAAAATGAAGATTATGGACCTCTGCCCTTCTTTCCCTACACACCACTTGGTAATTTTGGAGACACCTGGAAGGTGACCCCTCTACCTCTTCCTGGTGTTCAGGCCTGTTGTCCTCTCGTTTTCTCTCTGTTGGTGCCAGTTCAAGATAGAGCCTCCAGGATCTTCTGCTTCCTCTTTGATGTAACAAGTTTAAGCAAAGAAGTGGTCCCAGTGTCACATTCTCAAAACGATGCAGGCAGATGTGCCCCAGTCTATTCGCTTCACAGCACTGTGAGGTTTGCTGTCCAGGAATGTGGGCTGGCATCAGAGCTACATCTCTAGCCAGCTGTCTGATGCCAGGCCATTGTCCACCCTCTTGGTCCTCAGGATCATGCATGGGGATCCCCTCCTCTGAAGCTATGCTGCTGTGGCAGCACTGGGAATGCTGTGGTCGCTGTACTTGAGGGTCTGGAACCTCATTAGGAGGGAACTGGGGAGCGATCTCTGTTTGGGAGTCCACAGTCTCCCCTCTTCATCTTTCTAATTTTGTTAATTTAGGCCTTCTCTCTCATTTGGTAAGTTTGACAAAGAGTTTATCAATCTTGTTTATCTTCTCAATGATCCAGTCTGGTTCATTGAACCTTTTTTTTTTTTTTGGCTTGATCTTTATATTTCTACTGGGTTTAGAATTGGTTTGATTTTAGAATTGGTTTGTTCTTGCTTTTCTAAGAACTTGAGATGCATAATTCAATTATTTGTTTGGGATTACTGTGTTTTTCTACTGTGGGCACTTATAACCATAACTTTCCTCTTAACTACTTTCATTGTGTCCCACAGATTCTGGTATGTTGTGTTTTCATTCTCATTCTAAGAATTTTTAAATTTCTCCTCAGATTTCTTTGGTGGCCCACTGATTGTTCAAGAGTCTGTTAAGCCAGGTGTGGTGGTGTGCACCTATAATCCCAGCACTCAGAGGCTGAAGCAGGAGAATTGCCATGAGTTTGAGGCCAACCTGGGCTACATAGTGAGCTCAAGGCCAGCCAGTACTATAAAGCAAGACTGTCTCAAAATAGAGCCTGTTAAATCCAGTTGCTTTTTGGCATAGGTTCATTCTGATGTTTCCTTGTTGTTTTTTTGGTCTGGCTGACCTAGTTGTTAAAGTAGGGTGATAAAGTCCTCCACTACGATTTTATTAGGGTCTGTTTGTTCTTTTATGTCCAGTAGTATTTGTTTTATGAAATTGAGTATGTTGACATTTGGTGTATACATATATGCCACTATTCTCTTTTCTTGGTAAATTGTTCCTTTTAGCAGTATGTAGTAATTTTCTTTGTCTCTTCTGACCAATTTTGACTTCAAGTCTACTTTTTGCTGGATGTAAGTATAACTAGTCCTGTTTGCTTATGGGCTCTAGCTATTTGCAATATTATTTTCTATTATCAAACTGAAAGTGTTCAGTTTTTGTATGTCTTTGCAGATGAGATGTTTCTTGAAGGCAACATATAGCTAGATCTGTTTTTTATTGAATTTGTCTTTGTCTTTTAATTTGAGAATTTATATTGTGTTATTATTGAAAGGTTTATACTAATTCTTATCATTTTGTTGTTCCCATATTTGATTCATTTGTTTTTCATTTATTTATCTATTTTCTCGGTGATATTTATTCTTTCTCTTGGTCTAATGTTTGTTTGTTGCTGTCTTTTTTTTTTTTTTTTTTGTACCAAGGATTGAACTCAAACCTTGTGCTTGTGAGGCATGTGTGGTGTCACTGAGCTAAATCTTTGGTCCTGCTGTCTTCTTAATCTGTGTTTAGGATTCCCCCTATTTTCTGAAGGGCTGGCTTACTACGTCATTTATTTCTAGGCTTTATATTTCATGTAAGGTCTTCATTCAGCTTTGAAGGACAGACTTGAAGAATTATAATAGCAATCTGAGTTGGCAGCTATTTTCTATTTCACTATCCCAGAAAATAGGAGGGAGAGCATTAAAATACAGTAGACTGCAAAAAAACTAAACCTTAATAGTACTCAAGTTAATCCTAATAGTGTGTATATAATGAGGAAGGGGGAAAGATAGAAAAGAAAAGAAAAAAAAAAAAAGATACAAGAGTAAATTATTCAAGAGACAGAAGCCACACCTGCCTGGCAGGCACAAGGTCCTGAGTTTGATCCCCCATACGGGAGCGGGGGGATCATAAAGAAAGCCGAGTAAGGAATGGAATATAAATGGAAGGTGAGAGAAAAGATGAAGAGGCTTTGTCTGACTTTGGACTAAAAGTGAAGCATAGTTAGATATTGCTAAGAAACAACTGTTGATGTTGGTATATATGACTAAAAAACATAGAATACTGTAGGTGCTTTTTTGGGGGGAGGTCACTGGAGATTGAACTTAGAACTCTGCTTGCGAGGCAGGCAGTGGAACCAGTGAGCTAAATACCTGGCCCCTGTAGGTTCTGTTTTAATAAAATGCTATATATTACCTTCGTCCATTTTTAACTTTTTCCCTCCATGGTTCTTCCCCCTTCCCTTCCCTTCCCTTCCCCTTCCCCTTCCCCTTCCCTTTCCCTTTTTCTTTTCTTTCATTTCTTTCTTTTTTGGTACCGGGGATGGAACTCAGGACCTTACGCTTCTAAGGCAGGTTGCATCCTTCCTTTCTTTCAAACTTGGCTACAGTAGATTAAACTAAACAATGTTGATGCAGGGCCAGTGTTGTTACAGTGCAACTCTTGAGCTCAACCTGAATTCATCCCTATTCCTAAAGAATGTTGTAATAAACTCATGAAAGTGCTTATTTCACTAGACATTGTAGTATGTACCTATAATGCTGGCTGTTGGGGAAGCTAAGGAAGAAGATTATGAGTTCAAGGCCATCCTGGGAAGCAAAGCAAGACCTTACTTCAAAAAATATATGTATTTAAAATCAATAACAGTATCTTCTTCATCCATTTACTTATATGTAATCTAATTTTTTTTTCTACTTTCTTGCAGAATTCGCATTGTCCATTGAATGAAGAGGTAATTGCTCAAGCCAGGAAAATATTTCCTTCAGTGATAAAATACATTGTAGAACTGACTATATGGGAAGAGGAAAAACAACTGCCTCGTGAACTACGGATAAGGTGGGGGAATTTTCTAATGGGACAGGATTTAATGATGGTTATTTATGTTGCAAAGTAAGTATTAGGTAGGTATTTTGTGACTACTTAATTTGTTATTATGAAAAAGTTATAGAGTTATCTCTTGGGAGCGCAGTATTTTTAAAATATTTGTCTACTTTGCTAGACACTCAAACAGAAGTTAAGTCAAAAGAAGAGCTATTGGCAAGCCCTTAATTTCTAGGAAAAGTCAACATTTTGGAGTTTTGCTTTGATTTTGGGACCAGGGACTGAACTGAGGACCTGTGCTTACAAGGCAGGCGGCAGCACCACTGAGCTAAATCCATGGCCCAAGGTTTTGTTTTAAATTTGTAAGAACGTAGCCATGAAGCTGACCTTAGAATAGTGTGTCTTCCTTTACCCCAGATCTTTATTTTCTATTTCCTTATCAAGAAAATTTCATGGTCAGGATGAAGAAATAGCCCTTTTCTTCATGCTTTGATAATATTTTGCTAAGGTTATTGCACTGTAGGGATTTTAGTTAAAACTCAGCAATTTCTGATAACAAATTTTTCAGTGACAGTAATGGTTGCTCTGAACTTACAAATGAAAAATAGAATTCTAGACCTAATATGAAGATATGTTTCAAATGGGAATATTTCTTCCTTTATAATACTGAGAATGTCACAAAAGGGCAGCACATCTAAATATAGCTTTTTGAGTTTACTGAGGTTTTCTGTTTGCTTTGCATAGGAGAGAGAATTAAGGATTTTGATATACAGAGGCATTAAATGTGTTGTTTTGACTGATAGTGGTCCATAAACTTATTGGAGAAATAAAGGTATTGAGGAATCACATACATCTACACATATTTTAATTTCAAGTAGATGATAATGTATTTTAAGCCTTTTAAGAAATTTTGTACAGCCAGGCGTGGTGGCTCTCACCTGTAATCCCAGCACTTGGGAGGCTGAGACAGGAGGATTGCTGACAGTTCAAGACCAGCCTGGACTACATAGTTAGTTCCAGGTCAGTCTCAACTACATAGTGAGACCCTGTCTCAGAAAAAAAAAAAAAAGAAAGAAATTTTGTGTTGGTAAACATAATATGAGCCACCTGCCTTCCAAAAACAGAAGAGCTACTTAAAGTCATTGTGTATAGGTAGCATTGGTCTTTGTATTCACAGATCTGAGTTTTGGTGCTTCTTCCCGCTTATTGGCATTATGGCCACAAATAAGTCATAATACAATAAATGAGTAAAATAAATATACTATACCAGTATCACTGAAGTAGAAGGTAAACACAAAAAGAAATACCATAAAATAGGAAAGAAACTTACGTTAATAAAATCTCTTGGGGGTGTACTGGGGATTGAACTCAGGACTTTGCACCTGTGAGGCAGGTGTGGCGTCACTGAGCTAAATCCCTGGTCCAATAAAATCTGATTATGTATCATTGTGTCCTTGAAAGCTGAGGGCTTCAGGCCTGTCTCACTTGGTCAGAATGGGAGATAAACAAAAACTAAAAGTGGTACTTCAGACCTAGTGCCACTGAAATGAGACTTCTGAAGGTAATTTTTTAAAATGAAAGAAAAACATAGAAAAAATAATATTTGTTAGGATTTTTTTTTTTTTTTGAGGTAGTTGGGCTTAAGAAATCCTACTGCCTAGCCCTCCAGTAGCTAGGACTATAGTCATATGCCACTTCACCCTGGTTGGAATTTTAAATTCCATGTCAGTCTACCACTTAAAATCATTCTCTATGTCAGTATTAACAGTGTTACTTTCCTACATATGAGAAACTACATGGTGTTGCTTTAGTACAGACATTATATTTTATTTTAGTCGCTTTTAATTTGTTCCTTTATTTATTGCAGTATCTAAATCCATTCCTTTTTTTTTTAAACAGGGAGAAAAATGAAAGATACTATTGCGTTCTTTTCAATGATGAGCACCACTCATATGACCACGTCATATACAGTCTGCAGAGAGCCCTCGACTGTGAACTTGCAGAGGCCCAGTTGCATACCACTGCCATAGACAAAGAGGTTTGTGGTTGCCACTTGAATTCTGCTGCTTATATCAGCTTCCTGGCAGTCAAGAGTTGACTGAGCCCTTGTCAAGTTCTGTAGTATTATGTTAAGTCCAGCCATGCCCTCCATTTATTCCTCACATCTGGGGTAGATTGGTTAGGGCTTTGATTTTGTGTGTGTGTGTTTCATAGTTTTAGATAAGTATTTATAACTTCTTTTATTCTAAATGATAAGTTACTGAGTATATTTGATAAATAATAGATAAAAAGGGCAGCTTGCTCTTCTGTTCTTATAGTTCATTGCATGAATTAAGAAACGTTGATCATTTCTGAAATTTCAACATGATCTGTATTATTTTTATTTATTTATTTATTTTGAGTTAGGGTCTTGCTATGTAGTAGTCAATGCTGACCTTGAAGTTACCATGTAGCCCCAGCTGGCCTTCAATTTGTACCAGTTCCCCTGCCTTAGCCACCTGAGTGCTGGGGTTACAGGTGTGCACCACCACACCCAGCTCTATGTTATTTTTAAAGTAATAGTCTATGGCATAGTTTTTATTTAACATCCATCCAAAGCAAAAATGAGTTCCTTAGGTGATACACATGTCTCAAAAGAGTATTAACCCATTCCCTATCCTTAAGAAGAATATAATGTAGTAGAAAAATACCATGATACTAATAACTCAAAATTGCCCCGCCCCATGCTGGAAATTGAATGCAGGTCTTTGCTCATGGTAGGCAAGCATTCTACTTCTGAGCTACATTCCCAGTTCAAAACTTTCCATTTTTCTTAACTTCTTCTTTTTTTTTTTTTGGTACTGGGGATTGAACTCAGGTATTTGTGCTTGTGAGGCAGGCGGCAGAACCACTGAGCCAAATCCCCATCCCCTGACTTCTTTTTCATACAAATGGTTTAATATAGGTGTAGAATAGATGGTTAATTTCTTTCCTGTGTGTTTCACATGTGTGTCTTATAAGATTGCAGATCTTTAAAGAAAGGGCAAATGAGCTGAGTAAAACGGGTATGAACAGTTAATAATATCAGCCAACATTTGCTAAGCAGTTATATAGACATAGTTGACTTTGCATGTAATATTTCATTTACACCTGAGAACAGCCCTTTCAGATATATATTGTTATTGTATATTTCATAAACCCATGCCCTGTACCTTGAGGACTCAAAGGATCAATATCTTGGCATACCTGTAAGCCTGTCCTAAGTACACAAGAATTCTGGTTAGAATGTGCCCTTCAGACTTTTTCATGTGACTCCTGTAAAGAGCTTATTACCAGTAAGAGGGCGGGGGATTTTAGCTTAGTGGCACTGCGCCTGCCTTGCAAGTGCAAGATCCTGAGTTCGATCCCTGGTACCAAAAAAGAAAAAAAAAAGCTACAACTTTTGATTTTGTAGGTTTGATATGGGGCATACAGGTCTTTGTTTATAACAAGTTCTTGGGTGATTTTTGATACACCCAGTGCAAGGAACTATATTTTGACTAGCATGAATCTTTTCCACCATTTCTCTGCTATGCAAATAACTGGCCAGGCATGGGATACCAGAGGGAGGACTACCCATAATCTCAACACTCAAAAGGCCAACGCAGGATTGCCTCAAGTTTGAGGCCAGCTTGGGCTACATGAGTTCAAGGCCAGCCTGAAGTACAGAGTGAGAGCCTATTTTGAAACACCAAAATAATAATAATTTGTTTTGTTTTGTTTTTGGTACCAGGGATCAAACTCGAGACCTTGTGCTTGTGAGGCAGGCGGCGGCACCATTGAGCTAAATCCCTGGCCCCAAAATAATAACAACAAAAACAATTATATTTTCGCTGGCTGTGGTGGTGCACACCTGTAATCCCAGCACTCGGGAGGCTGAGGCAGGAGGATTGCTGTGAGTTCGAGACCAGCCTGGGCTACATAGTGAGTTCCAGGTCAGTCTCAACTACATAGTGAGACCCTGTCTCAAAACAAAACAAAACAAAGAACAATTCTGTCTTTGCTCAAAGGCTAAAGAGATCAGTTGCTCACTGATATGTTTAGCATATAAAAATGAACTGAGTTTTCTCCTGAGCTTTGGATGGTCTCTTAAATTAGACATCCTCAAGAGGAGGTAGTAAATATATGATAATGGTTACTATTTCAAGGTCAGTGTTTCCAGATTACTTAGAATTTAATTCTTCTCTAAAGTTTTGTTGGTTGTTGTTGTTGTTGTTGTTGTTGTTGTTGTTGTTTGGTACTGGGGATCAAATTTGGGACCTTGCATTTGTGAGGCAGACAGCACCACTGAGCTAAATCCCCAGCCCTTGTTGTTGCTTTTTTTCATACTCTGTGGTTGATAGTTTCCTGAAATCAGATTTACTGGAAGTAAGTAGGAAGCATGAGTATGATTGAGTTTCAGGAGGGATGGTTGAAAAGTGTTTTTATCTACACATTTCAAGGTCGAGAAGAGATAAGTGAGGCATTTCTGAAGGATGACAAAACAAGTGACAATTTAGAAGGCAAGAAAAAAGAACAAGAGAAGAATACCAGTAAGAGGAAGGAAGGGAGGAAAAATGTCAGAGAAAATAAAAGAAAGTGATCGTGTGTGTGTGTGTGTGTGTGTGTGTGTGTGTGTGTGTGTATTAAACACAGGGCCTATGCATCAAGCCACATTGCCAATTTTTTATTTCAAGATAGAAGCTTGCTAAACTGCCCAGACTGGACTTGAATTTATATCCTCCTGTCTCAGTTTCCCATTACAGGATGTGCCACCACATTAGCTCAGACTGATTTCTTTTAGAACAAACCAATAAAGAATTTTTGCTTTTAGATGGCAATCTATCAGATAGTTTAAGAACTCTATAATTTATTTATGTCTGTTTTCTTCAACTGTTTATCTTATAAAATAAAACTCATACTCTCCATGCTGTTTTCTTCTCTCCACTTTCTCTTCGATAAATACCAGTTTGTGATAATCTCTGTCAGTTCACTAAACATTCCTATAGGCACTGAGAGGAAATGCAAAGATTAGTGAGATTATTCTCTGTCTTCAAAGGATTGTTTTCATGAAATAAACAGGCATTCAAGATCATTTTAAAGATGTATGATGCTCTTTCCCAGTCCACGTTTTGCGACTTTTTATATGCAGTTAACGTTGTATATTCCAAGAAACAGTCTCAGTAAACCTGAAGATAAAATAGTCCTAAACTTACTGGTTAGCTACTGTGATCCTAGGACTCTGAAAAAACATATACAGGTATGCTAACCCACTTTCTCAGGAGGAGAGTTAGCTTGGGAAAGTATGGGACTGTACTTTGTTGATTTCAAATGGAATGAAAGGATCTAAGTCTCCAAGTGTAACGTCTTTGTCCCATTTTATCTTTTGCCCTACTACCACCTCTTTCTTTACATGTTTATTTCAAATTGAACTTCAAGTGATTTATTTTTATTTATTTGTTTGTACCAAGGATCAAACCCAGGGCCTTGGCACTAAGCTACATCCCCAGGCTTTTCCTTATTTTTTATTTTGAGACAGTGTCACTAAGTCACTCCGTTGCCAAAGCTGGGATAAACTTGGGATCCTCCTGCCTTGGCTGCCCAGAGGTCTAGGATTAAAGGCATTTGCTACTACACCCGGTAAATGACTTAAATTCTGTTGGCTCTTATTTGGCAAGATGGTCAGTGCTGAGGTTGTAACTTTACTACACCTTTGGAAGTCAGAATTTATTCAGTGGCTGGGTGTAGATGTCAGAGCATTCTGGGTTACATGAATTCTAGCTTTAAGAAGAGGAATTTTAACATATCCTTATGACAGAATGTGATAAAGCTATCTTCCTTGTCCATTGGATTGATCTGGATTCCTTCTGTGCTACAACACCCACAAAAGAGATAGAGGAAAGTTCTGAAAAAGAGTTCATCAAAATTCCACTGGTTCACTACTGTTCCCTTCTTCCTTCTTTAGCCCACTTTCTTGTAATACTCACTTGTGTATAAGTAATTTTCCAAAAATTATTCATCTCTTTCTCGTACTTACTTGGAGAATAACCAGATTGATGTTAACGTGTTAGTGATTTTTATTTTAGGCACTTGGATTTGGAAAGAATTTCAGAGTTCTTTTATATTTTTAATTGGTAGAATTATTTAAAAATTATTGAGTAATGTTTAGGAAATTTGTTTTTTTTTTCCTTTGGGGGGTTTTTAGATGTGTGTGTGTGTGTGTGTGTGTGTGTGTGTGTGTGTGTGTGGTACTAGACATTGAACCCAGAGCCTTCACACTGAGCTCTATCCCTAACTCCAGCCCTTTTTAATTTTTTTAGTTTAAGATAGGTTCTCACCAAAATGCTAAATTACTGAGGACAGGCTCAACTTGCAATTTTCTTGCCATGGCCTCTTGGGAATACAGGCATGGACCACCATGCCTGGCTGAATTCATGTTTTTTTGTTTTATTTTGGTATCGGGGATCAAACTCTGGACCTTGTGCTTATAAGACAGGCAGCAGCACAACTGAGCTAAATCCCTCATGTATTTTTTAAAGTCAGTAGGCACTAAAGAATTCTTCTATGTATTAATCATTCAGACTGATTGGAAAAGGGAGCCCTCTGTACTCAAAAATGTTGAGTTTTTAAACTAGGATTTTAAAAGAGTTTATACTTAAAGATAAAATAATAGTAAGTGATGGAAACAATAGTTAAAAGATTTACTTAGAGCCTCTGTGGAATTTTATTACTAATGATAATAAAACAATAATGGCCCTTTACATAGAGTTCCCTTGGACTAGATACATGTAAAATCATTGCAAACCCTCCACAAGTCACATTCTAGCATTCTCTCCATGTTCTTTAAGGCAAAGAACATAGTAATTACCCTCATTCTTATTTTCTACTCTCCTCTCTCTTCAAAATGGAAAAGGCCAAGGGTACAGCTACCTTAATTCTGGTTGGTTTGACTTGTTTTGAGTTCTCAGGATCGGATAGGTGATGGTCATTACAAAAAGCTTTTTATAAATGATCACAGGCTCATTCAAAAGAGATGGTAGACCTGGGTGTGGTGCCTGTGATCCCAGCACTTGGGAGGCTGAGGCTAGAGGATCACCAATTGTTCAATGCCAGCCTGAACTCTACAGAGTGAGACCCTGTCTCAAAAAAAAAAAAAAAAGATGATAGAACATGAGGTACAGCACAATAAGGTAAAAATATACTTCGCGGCGAGATGAGATTGTGTGATACATAGCCTGTTTTTTAAATCCAGAAAGATATAGGTTGTATATATGTGTACACTGTATCTATTTTTGTTTGTTTTGATTTGGTATTTTTTGAGACAGGGTTTCACTATTAGTTCAGGCAGGCTTTGAATTTCCTATGTAGCCCAGGCTGGACTTGAATCCATGGCAATCCTCCTGCCTCAGCTTCCCAAGTGCTGGGATTACATGGTGTTCCACCATGCCCAGTGTACAATATATCTATTAGAATCAGTTGCAGAAAATTTTTTTTCAAAAAACTGTCAGCCTAAGCCAAATAAATTAGAATTGGGAATATGGGAAGAAGAGCGGGGAAAGAAATGTTTGAAAAACTGCCTCTTTCTAGTTCATCTGTTACCTATTGGTCACCCCACCCCTGTTTTTTGTCATTTAAAAATTAATGGTGATAAAATCCACACAACATAAAATTTTCTGTTAGCTTTTTTATGAATACAAAACAATGTGGACTGTATGCGACAGAGCTCTAGAACATTTTTGTTTTGTAAAGCTGAAATTCTGAATTCACAGAACAACTGTCCTTTTCATCTTTTTTTCCCAGTCCTGCTATTCTAGCATTTTAATTGTTTTGGTTATCTCATGTAAGTTGGATCATGAATTATTTTGTCTTTTGTGACTAGTTTATATCACTTAGCATAATGACCTTGAAATATGTGTTATGAGAGGATTTCCTTCTTTTGTTTTGTTTTGTTTTTGGTACCAGGGATCCATCCTTCTTTTTTAGGCTGATTATTATTTTATATTTGTATCTTATTTTGTTTTTTGTTTTGGTAGCGGGGATCGTGCACTTGTATTTGTTTCTCATTTTGTTTATCCATCCATTCTTTGATAGATGCAAGTTGCTTCCACCTTTTGTAATAATGCTGTTGTACATGTTGTACAAGATTGTACATATACAGTCCTTTGAACCCTTGTTTTGTGCATATACCCAGAAAGGGAATTACTGAATCATGTGAGACTTCTATGTCTCATTGTTTGAAGGACTACCCTATTGTTTTCTATAGCAATTTGTGTTAAGTTACTTTTTCCTCATGGCTGAGGCAAAATGCCTGACACTCAAAGTTAAAGGAGAGAGGATTTATGTAGCTCACAGCTTGTAGAAGTTTCAGTCCATAATTGCCCGGTTTTAAGGCAGGGAGGCACATGGAAGGGGGCAATAGTTCATAGAGGCAGAAGCAGAAGCAACAAGGGACCTTAACAGTGTCTTTCTGCCCCTTTTATTTGAACTACTTAGTAGCACTCACACCCTTAATCCTAGTGCTCTAGGGCCTAGCCCCACCATGAATCAGTTACACGCTCTAGATTCAGCCACCTCTGAAAAATCATGAGGCTTTGAGGGTACATCTAAATACAAGACATAACACTGTTGTACCATTGTATATTTTCCCTGGCATTCGTCAAGTGTTCTAGTTTCTCTACACCTTTGCTGGCACTTACTATTTTAAGTTTCTTGTTTTTGTTAGCAACCATTCTACTGCATGTAAAATGTGTCCCTCTGCCCTCATTTATATTGAGTGAGACTCACTGTGTTAGGTTGATTGTCAGTATTTATGGATATAAGCTTATTAAATCTTGAATATATTATATATAATTTATATATATATATATATATATACACACACACACACACACTTTTTATGTGTGTGTATATATATATATATATACACACACACACACACACTTTTTATGTGTGTGTATATATATATCTCTTTGTTATTTTTTATTAGGGCTTGAATATATTTTCTGTTCTTATAAAAAAATCTCTTGTGGCTTGGCTTTTTGTGCATTATTTTTCCTATGTAATGGTAACCTTGCTGGTGTAATTAACAGTTCAGATATATTTGGGTCGTTCTTACACATACATGCTAAAGAAGAAAGATTACAGTATGGCTTGTAGTACAGACTCTGGAAATGGACTGTTAGCCTTGTATCTATGGATTGACCACTTTCTAATTTGAATGCAAATTACCCAAAATCTCTGTGTCTTTTTTTTCTTTTCTGTAAAATAGGGGTAACTTCCTCACCAGGCTATTGCAAAAGTTAAATGAAGAATATAGTACTTCCATGGCCTTTTTACATGACACACATAGAAAATAGTAGATTTTTACAGGTATTTAAAAGAATGAGCTACCAGGATGTCCTAAGTAGCCTTTGCTTATCTGACTCCAGGGTTGAAGGAATCCATTGCCCTGCCATATCTCCAACCCATTAATGGGCCACAAGTATAGAGTACATGTTGAGTTCTACATTTATTCATGAAAATATTAAAAACTCATAGCAAGAGTTTGGTAAACCTAAATTGTTATTATCTATGTACAAAGTACACTATATTAACTTAAAGAACCAGTGTTTTTGCTCAGCAGGAAAATTAGTATCCTAAATTGTATAAATTCTCTTCTGGAGGTACAGAAAGTCCAGATGCTTCATAAAAATGCTAACCATGACTAGCCATGGTAGCGCATGCCTGTGATCCCAGCACTTGGGAAGCTGAGTCAGGAAGATCACCAAGACCAGCTTTGGCTACATAGTGAGTTCAAGGCCAACCTGAACTACATAGTGTTCATAGATACCTTGTCTTAAAAAAAAAAAAAAAGTTTTAACATTTATGTCTATCTTCCAGGTACTGTCTTATAATCTTAAAACTTATAGTTAATAGGTGATTTTTTTTTCAATGTGTGATTAATATTTGGCAGTTCATTACATCTGTGTGATATATCTTACTGATTGTGGTTATCATTTTCATTACCAAATTTTTATTTTTGCCTACAATTAGGGTCGTCGGGCTGTCAAAGCAGGTACTTATGCGGCTTGCCAGGAAGCAAAAGAAGATATAAAGGTAATTTTTTGAATTGGGAACCAAGATAATTGTACATTGTAAAAACCAAGTATGACAAGTAGAGGGTTTTGCTAAAGTGATTTGACGTCCTAAATAGAATTAGGATTGGGGCACTTAGATTCAGAGATTTAGAGTTGGCTGAGTTATGTGATTCTTTCTTTTTTCATTCTTTAAGAATAGATATCTTAGTTCAAAGCAAAACTAATTAAGAAAGACAGAGAAGGTCACTACATCCTTGTAAAGGGAACAATTCAAGAGGAAGAGATGACAATCATAAGTATATATGCACCAAATACTAATGTCCTCAACTATACAAAAACAAAAAAATTTTTGGTACCAGAGATAGAACTCAGGTCCTTGTGCTTGCGAGGCAGGTGGCAGAACCACTGAGCTAAATCTCTGGCCTCATACAAAACAAATATTAATGGGCATGGGAAACCAAATAAGCACTAATACAGTTGTAGTAGGGGACCTCAATACCTCACTGTCTCAAATAGACAGATCATCAAGACAAAAAATCAACAACAAAATACTAGAACTGAACCAAGCTTTTGAACAAATGGACTTAATAGATGTCTACAGTGTTTCACCCCACAAAATCAGAATATACATTCTTTTCAGCTGCACATGGGTCATTCTCCAAAATAGATCACATACTAGCTCATAGAACATGTTTAAGTAAATACAAAGAAATTGAAGTTATCCCATGTATAATATCAGACCGTAGTACAACTAAATTGGAGATCAGTAGCATAAGAAACTACAAGAACTTCATAAACACATGGAAATTGAATAACGCTCTCCTGAACAACCAGTGGGTCACAGGAAATTAAAGAAGAAATTAGACAGTTTCTACAATTAAATGATAATGCCAATACAACATATAGGAATCTATGGGACACAATGAAAGTAGTTTTACAAGGGAAATTCATAGCAGTGAGTGCCCATACTAAGAAAACAGAGCTCTAACAAACAACCTAGTGCTGAACCTCAAGCTCCTAGAAAAAGAAGGGCAAGACAAACCCAAAGCTCTTGCAAGGGAGGAAATGACAAAGATTAGAGCAGAAACTAATGCAATGAAGACTAATAGAACAATACCAAAAATAATCAGTAAATTGAAGAGTTGGTTTTTTATTTTTTTTTGTTTTGTTTTTGTTTTTGTTTTTGTTTTGGTACCAGGGATTGAACTCTGGTCCTTGCCCTTGCAAAGCAGACCACCGAACTGCTGAGCTAAATCCTCAGGCCTGGTTTTTCAAATAAATAAATAAAATCAATAAACGCTTAGCCAACCTTATCAAAAAAAGGAAAGAAAAGGCTGAAACCCATGCAATTAAGAATGAAGAAGGTTACAACAGATCCAGCAGACATCCATGGCATCATCAATACCTATTTCAAGAACGTGTACTCTAATAAAATGGAAAACAAAGAAGAAAAGGATAGATTCCTAGATAAATATGAATTACCAAAGTTGAACAAAGAAGATAATAAAAATTTTAAATACCCAATTACAATCAGTGAAGTTGAAAACATAATTAAAACTTTACCAACAAAGAAAAACAGATCCTGATGGCTTCACTGCTGAATTCTACAAGACATTTAGAGAAGAACTGTTGCCACTACTCTTTAAACTCTTCAATGAAATTGAAAGGTAAGCAATACTTCCAAATTAATTCCTAGAAGCAAGTGTTATTTTGATTCCAAATGCAGGAAATGACCCAACCAAAGAAGAGAACTTCAGGCCAATCTCCCTAATGAATATAGATGCAAAAATCCTCAATAAGATGCTAGGAAACAGAATACAGTGGGTCATCAAGAAGATCATACACCCTGACCGAGTCAGATTTATCCCAGGGATGCAAGGATGGTTCAGTATACATAAATCAATAAATGATATTAACAGAGCCAAGGTCAAAAACCATATGATCATCTCAATAAATGCAGAAAAAACATTTGACAAAAGTCCATTCAGTATAAAATCCCTACAGAAAATTGGAATAGATGATCTTTATCGCAACCTGATAAAGGCTATCTATGAGAAAGTAACAGCCAGAAATCATACTAAATGGCCAAAATCTGAAAACCTTCATGCCAAAATCAGGAACAAGACGAGGATGTCCACTATTACCACTCCTCTTCAATATCGTTATTGTTCTGGAAACATTAGTCACAGCAATTAGATAAGAGAAAGAAATAAAAGGAATAAAGATTGGAAAGGAAGAAATTAAATTGTCGTCATTTGCTGACAATATGATATTCTACATAGAAGACCCAAAAAACTCCACTGAAAGACTTCTAGACTTCATTGACAGATTCAGTAGAGTAGTTGGATACAAGGTCAACACTCAAAAATCAATAGCCTTTGGGCCAGGGATTTGGCTCAGTGGTTCCCCTGCCTGCCTCACAAGTGCAAGGGCCTGAGTTCGATCCCCAATACCAAAAAAAAAAAAAAAAAAATGTAATAGCTTCCTTGTACACAACATACTTACTGAGAGAGAAATTAGGGAAATAATTCCTCTCTTAATATCACCCCCCAAAAATGAAATATCTAGGAATCAATCTTAACGAAGGAAGCAAAAGACCTCTACAGTTATAGCTACAGCACTCTGAAAAAAGAGATCAAAGAGGATATAAGAAAATGGAAATTCATCCCTTTTTACTGGGTAGGAAGAACTAATATAGAGAAAGTGGCCATACTTCCAAAACTGCTATATAGATTCAAAGCAATTCCAATTGAAATCCCAACAGTATATTTCACAGACCTAGAGAAAACAATCCAAAAATTCATTTGGTACCAGAAGAGACCTAGAATAGCAAAAGCAATTCCAGGCAACAGAGACATGACAGGGGGTATATCACAATCCCCACCTTGAAACTACACTATAAAACTACTGTGATAAAACAGCATGGTACTGGCAAAGAAAGAGACCCGAGGTTCAGTGGAATAGATTAGAAAATACAGAAACAACTCCAGACATACTCAGTCACCTTATCTTTGACCAAGGAGCCTCACTGGAAGAAAGCCTCTTCAGTAATTGGTATTGAAAAAACTGGATTTCAACCTGCCAAAGATTAAAACTATGTGCTAAACTAAAATCAAAGTAAATTAAAGATCTAAATATTAAAACAGAAATATTAAACTTGCTGGAAGATAAGTGAGGTAGAACTCTCGAAGACATTGGCATTGGAAAAGACCATGACCAAAAGCTCAGTAGCGCAGGGAATAGCACAAAGAATCAACAACTGGGATCTCATCTTTTAAAAAGCTTCTGCACTGCAAGAAAAACCGGCAACAGAGCTAAGAGACAACCTACAACATGGGAAATATATTTTATCAGCTGTTCCTCAGATAGAGGAATACTATCTAGAATATATTAAAAAACTTTTAAAAATCAGACCTCCAAATATAAAGATCCAATTCAGAAGTGGGCATCTGAAATGAATAGACATTTCTCAGACAAAGCAGTAAAAGCAGCAAACATTAAAAAATGTTCAGCGTCACTGGTCATTTGAGAGATGCAGATAAAAACAACACTGAGATTGCATTTCACCCCAGAAAGAGTGGCTGCTGTCAAGAAAACAACCAATAACAAATCCAGGTGGGGTTGTGGGGAGAAAGAAACCCATTTCCTGTCTTGTTGGTGGGAGTGCAGACTGGCACAACCACTGTGGAAATCAATATGGGGATAACTCAAAAAAATAGGATTAGAGGTCCCATTTGACCCAGCTATTCCTCTTCTGGGTATCTTCCAAAAAAAAATTTAAAGTATCATACCACAGTCATATATGTTCACCTATGTTTATAGTGGCAAAGTTTGTAATAGCTAAAACTTTGAAACAGCCCAGTTGCCCATCAGCTGGAGACTGGATAAAAAAGATGTGGTGGTTTTTTTGTTTGTTTTATAAAACAGAGTACTACTCAGCCATAAAGAACAAGAAACTAGAGACATTTATAACTAAATAGATGGATATTGAGGCCCC